TAATCCTCAGGATGGAGGCCAGTCGATCGCCCCCGGAGACAACAGTTCTTTCTGCAGCCACAGACCAGGCCCTTCCACCCGCTCCAGGCGCTATTAAAAGCAGCACGACCCTGTGGGCCTCACAGGCTCTGGTGAAACGGGAACGGAAGTGGCCCCTGGGCTCTCTGTGCTCGTAATTTGCTCTGGAGGGATCCAGAGCCAACCTTGGAAAGGGGCCCTGGCTTCTTGGACCAGTCTCTCTTCCTCGCACGTCTCCGTACTCTTTGGGATCTGTCCCAGCCGTACTTTCCAATGCCTCAAGCCCCTAGAGGCACATGCTGCAGAGCCAGGGGCTGGAACACCCAGCCTTGTCCCCTGTCTCCATCCTTGATACTCACATTCGCCCAATGAGCCCTAACCAAGCCCTGGGCATGGGAAGGGGCTTGCTCACAGCCACCCACCCTACCGGGGACAGGACTGAGGCCAGCGCCAGAGCCCCAGGTCAGCACTGTGTTCAGGGACCCTTTGAGTCAGGCCATAGGCATGCCAGTGATAAAGGTGGGGTGTTCATGGGACCACCCACCTGCTCCCCCAAATCTCCCAGGCCCTGTGCAGGTGGGCAGGACGACAAGACTGGCCCATAGCCTCTAGACCCCAGGCAAATGTGTCCCTTCCTGGCTGCAGCAGGGACAGCAGTCTCCGGCCTCTCTCCCTGCTGGCCAGGATGGTCAATAGTGATCCGCAGAGCAAAGTCCCTGCGGTGTGGTCAGGTTCCGCTCAGATGCCCCTCCACACACATGTAAGAAAAAGCGTTCTGTATTTTTGCTGAGTGACATCTCAGAGATATTTTTCCTGCAGCGAACAAATTCACCTAACTTCACCTAACCCACGGTGCACTGACTTAGTCACTGAGCCCGTAGGATTTACTGAGTCATTTGTTCTCTGGGTCCCTGCAGGTGCACCATCCAGGAAAAGCTGGATGAAGGAAAATTTCAACTGCAACAAGAGACCTAGGAAAACAGGGTGCAGGAGACATCAGAAGACGAGCTGGGCTGCCTCTGCACGTGGTTCCTTCTGTGCTTTTGAAGGAACTCAGCTGAGGATGGCAGAGGGTGATGGTGTGGAGCCTCATGGGGTGGGGTGAAGAGCCACCTCCTTGTTGTCAGGGACCCCTCTCCCAGCATTTCACTGTTGTATGAATTGCAGACAGGATCCTTCTCTGGGGAACAAATTATCTGAACGCTCTCCTCTGGGTGGCTGCATTGTTTTTATAAAAGGGCCTGGTAGGAGAGATCAGACACACAGCTGAGAGCACTGGGCTGGTATCTTTGTGCAGTGCATAAACCTTGCAACTGTATGCAGCAGCCCTGCGAGGGCCCTATCTTGGCACATCATGCATGTTGTCTCATGTTTTTACTTTCTGTGATCATCCAGTGGTCAGCATTTTTATTCCTGTTTTAAAAACAAGAAAACCAAGGCTCAGAAAGTTTAAGTTCATGGCTCAAACCACACAGTTAGTAGACAGCAGAGTTGGGCTCAAATTGAGGCTGACTGTTTCCAAGTCTGGTGTTCTTTCTACCACCCTAAAGCTGCATCCATTGAGTCTGAATGCCTATGCTCAAGGTCATACCATAGGGAGGCAGGACTCAGGCCAAGGGTGCTGGACTCCAAAGCCAAGGTGGCCTCCTTCCACACCCCCACCAAGAAAAGTGAAATTTCCATAGTCGTGATAAACAGGAACTGTTTACAATGCTCTGAGTTTCGCCTTACTGGAAATATTTAAGGTAGTGTCAACACAAAAGGTATTATTGACAAAGACATTCCCAGGGGTGAGAGGAGGACACGGTGAAATATTTGCTTCTGTGACCAAACAGCCTTCTCCCATTTCAGTCTCCAACTTTGCCTTGTGTTCTGAGCCCTAAATATCAAGCACAGCATACTTAATTTTCTCAAATGCCACTAGTTAGGAAAAAAGCCAAAGAAAAGCAGAGTAATTTCCTTCCTCATCTCCTGCTGCAGGTGATTGGATTGCAGGATTGGATGGAAGAAATGATTCTGCTTCTTGGATAATGGAATGAATCAAGTGCCTCCCAATTTCTTCCTACAAACACCGAGGTGCTGCGTTTATGTTCCTGAAACGGGAGATCAGTGGCAACACCACTGGGTAGAGAAAGGGACATCGAAGAGGAAACCACCAATCATTTGATGATAAACACATGAACACTCACATGCTTGCTTATACTTTGTAGATAGAATCATTTTTTTAAAAAAGGTGCTGGTTTCAGCAGGATTGTTGTAAGAAAGGACTATGGGGGGTGACAGGGAAAGGGTGCTGGAATAGCCCGTGGCCCTCACATGGGTGCAAGACCCCTGAGTGACAAGCACTTCCACAAGGGCCCTTGTTGCCCTCTGGGTCCTGGCTCATGCAGGCTCCCCAGGGCCTCCCTGGTTCTGCCCCATGCTTTACCCAGAATCCCAAGCTGCTAGCTGCCTCCTGTCCTGCCCGGCCCCATGCACCTGCAGACCAACACCAGCCTGAGCTGGATCCGCCCTGGTGCTCCTCAGCCCTGCTCCTGGGTGTTTTCCCTGAGTCCCCCATTGCTCACCTGTACGCCCCCCTCAGTTCTGGAGCAGCCTGCTCGGGAAGCCTTCCCTGGTGTGCCCAGCTTGGCTGGCTGTGCTTCCTGATGTCTTGCCCTCTGGGTGGCAGTCAATGCAATGGCTGGGATGGGATCACAGACCTGCTCTTTCTCTAGGCTGAGGGGCCTCTGGAGGGAAAGGGAAGTATTCCCCTGATGTGGACCCTGGACTGGCACAGCCCAAGGCTGAGTCTGCACCCAAGAAATCGTGGGCAAGTGAGTCCTTTAAGGCTTGTTCCCATTACACAGATGGACAGGCTGAGGGTCATAGTGGGCAGGAGATGTGCTCTAGGTCCCCAGTGAGTGGGAGCAGGTGCCTGGGCTAAAATTCAGGTGTGGTCATTCTGCCTGGCATTCTGCCTGCTGGGCAGTACCTGGTCCCTCGGGAGCAGAGGCTGGGTGTGTTTGAGGCTATGCCCCTTGGTGGGTGCTGTGGCTTCCTCTCTTGGAGTTGTCTTGGGGCTAAGATGCCATGTGATACCACCGTTCAGCCTTCTCTGCGCTGGGAGAAAGTCAGGGGGGTTGGCCCAGGGATTTGGAGGCTCTTTGTCATCATGGCCCTGAAGGACTTCAGAGTGAAGGAATTAGCCAGGGCCAGGAGGGGACCCCAAATTGAAGGAATGAATACCTGCCAACTTTTTTAATCATTGTGTGGTTATAAGTTCCCAATTATCCAGACACTTGCTGTCCCCTGTTTAAATGACATAGTTGAAAGGGGACATGAAATCATGACAACAGGTGAAACAGAAGCAAAGAAGATGACACTCCAACTGAACCCCGGTGAAGAGCGGCCTGGGGTGGCGAAGGAAACAGAGGAAACACCATGAAAGAGGTGTGGACTAGTCACCGCTGCCCGAGGCTGCAGAGGACGTTCTGTCAGCAGCCAGTCTGGCCTTCCACCTTGCAAGACCTCCTTGGGCCCAGCCAAGAGCACGTTCTTTCAATGCACTTCTCCAAAATGCCACCAAGCACCCAGGAAAAAAAAAAAGACAATGAATCACAATCACAAAACAGGACAATCTCATTGCACAGTAGGAGCCCAGAAAGAGCATCTTCTCTGCTGTGCAGATGCTGACACCTGCCTACCTGGAAGGCTAACAGTGACAGGTGTGGGATGGGTGAAAAGGTGGCCACCAGAAGCAGCCCTTCAGGAAGGGGCAGCAAAGCCCAGAGCTGGGGAATGAGTGAGTAGAAAGTTGACCATTT